CTTAAAATCTTTACTATAGCCTTATAGCGAAGTTGAGGTCTAGAACATAGAGTTTGTTATAACAAGAGTTGACTGTATATTTAATTATATTTTTAATACTATTTAACACAACTATTATAGAGATTTTATCTTACTTATTTTTCTTTCAATTTCTCTTTCATTTATTCCCTTTATAACATTAACAATTTCTTATAATGATAAATTCTCTTTAGCAGATACTTTATTATTAATATTAATATAGTCATTCATGGCTAAAGAAATTATGAATCCTAATTTATCAATTAATAATTGTAATTCATGTCTAATATTATCTTTTTCATAATTAGAATTGTTTGAACATTCAGAATTTTTCATATTATTATTAGAAAGAATTCTAACTTTAGCTTAACTGTTAAAAATTATTTTTTAAATACTTTATTTCAGATATCAGCAATTAAATTGATTGAATTAAAAATATTAATTAGAGTAAAATAAGGTCTTTTTATTCATAAAAATCATTAGCTTGAATATAATTTTAATATAGCAATTTATAATATTATGCTTTTAAACTATAATTAATACTTTAATCTAATGGTTGAAAATATGATGTTGTATTTAGTGGTAAAAAATGAATCTTAACATTTGAAAAACTATTAATATTCTCAGATTCATAATATTTAGCATTATTTATTAGTAAAATAATATATTGATTTTCTTTAAGTATTTTGAAATTTATCTTTTAAGATAATATTTGAAAATACTTTTTTGCATTTAAGCTTTATAGTTTTAATAATACTAAACAGGAAGAGATTTTTTTCAATTCCTTTTATTGCACATGGTATTTCATATTTATAGATAAAAACTAAAGGTAATCATTTATTACTAGAAATATTACAAGTTATCAAAATACTAACACATTCTTAGAATATTTTGTATTAAATATAAGATCACATGCTATTATTTTAAATATTTTTAAATGCTAAAAAAGAGCAGTTTTATCACAGTTTCAGATATCTTTCAGTTCATATTCTTGAAGAATTTCTTGTAATTTAGCTTTTATTTGTAAAAGTTTATTAATAGAAGTACTGTCAGCTTCTCCTTTTTTTATATATATACAAATTTTTTTCTATTTAAAGTTATTTAACCATCCTGCAGATGCTAAAAAGTTAGTAATATTAAGTAAATTAGCATATTCCATTACTTTTTATTAAATATTAGACCCATTAATAGTTAAATTTCTTGATATTTATTAACAAATCCAAATACTTATTACTTCTTCTAGTTATAGATAAATACTAGATTTTTATTTGTATTTGGTAAAGTGTTATCAATAGAATCTAATATTCTGATCTTTTTAAAATATTAAAAACTGTGCTAATGGAAATTTTATATTGTGCTGTTAATTAAATACTACTAAGATTTTGATCTTTTTATTTTTTTCAAAGTTCTTTCTTTTGAATTAATATTAAAGATTTTTTCTTTTATTATTTGTTTCTCTCATGTTAAAGTAGTTTAAAAAAGTTAAAAATTAGTGAAAAAAATTGTTTGCCTAATTAATAAATAATTAATATAATTATTTTATACTTTGAAAAACTAATATGTCATATCAGATTTTTTTAATTATAGTTGATCTAGAATAAAATCTGATTTATGAAATTATCAAGATTTTACTAATAAAATCTGATATATTAAGACTGTTTTAATATAGGTAATTTAGTTTTAAAAGAAAAATCTGAAATAGTATCAAATCTAATTTATCAAGAATCTGATTTATCGAGATTATATGTATATTTGCCTCATTTAATTTTATAGATAAATGAGACTATTACTTTTGAATTTATGGTATATTTAGTAGTTGATGAATCTAATCTTAATATAATTATTCCTAATTATATTTCTCAATTGAAACAGAGTAGAAAGAGCTATAACTCTTAATAAGAATCTTAATTGTAAAATTATTTAAAATAATGAAATATTATATTATATCATATGGTAATATTATTACAATAGGCATGTATTTTTATATGCATATTATTTTATATATTTATTTATATAAAAAAATTTTATTATTAAAAATTAAAATAATTTTGAATAGTAGCGTAAGTTATTGATACATTACTCTTTTATATAAATTTTCTTTTAGAAATATAAATTTAGAATTTCTTATTTTTTTATTTTTAAGATTATAGAATTTTAAAAATATAATCATTTCTGTTAAAATTATATAATAGATAGCAATTTGATGATAATTTATTTATTTATAAATTCTTTCTCTATGTTAATTTATATCAAAGATTAATTTCTTCTAAATTATCCTTTGAATTGTATTTTATTTTTATTATCCACTTACTAATTTATAATATGTGCTCATTTGATTTTTAAATTAAAATAAATGAAAAAGTATTTTTTTAATATAAGCTGATTCATTTACCTCTTATTCTTTAATTTGATCTTTGATTTGAACATTTTTACAATTACTTAGCCATTTTATTAACACTCAATTTTACTTTTTTGCTTTTTGTTTACATTATTGGTATTTCTTTATAATCTTTAATTCACTTTTCTTGATTGCTAATTTTTGAAATATCTATACTATTTGTCAAATCAGCATTGGTAAATTCTTTACAAGAACTTTGTCTCTTTATTTAATAGCAGTAACTTTTACTTACAGCATTAGGTTTTAGATTTTTAAATCTCATTATTATAAAAAATCATTAAATGATCATAAAAAAAGCTACTAATTTAATCAGATTAGACTATTATTTTATTTATATTATCTACCTCCTATTTAAATAATTAGAATTTGATGAGATCTTACTTTCTAACAAATCAGTATTCGCATTTTTTAGGTGTTTACTATTTTGTTTTTATTATTTCTGAATTTATTTCTATTGAAAGAGATATTTCTATCAAATGCATATTTTTAATAAGGTTAGAAACTAGTGCAAATTTACTTTTTCCTAAGTAAAAGGTGTTTTTATTTCATTAAGAGATTGTATTATTATTAGTTTTTTTCAATTTAATAGCCTTCTTCTTAGATATTATTATTGTGATTGAATTTTCAGTAAATTAGTAGATAATTAAGCTAATTAATATTATAACAATTTTATAGTATTATCCAAAGTAGCAAGAAAGATAATTATGAATTTTTTATTTAGTAATCTTATTTGAAAGTTTACCATTCTTAAAAAAAGTTGCTTGAAAATAAGTTATTTGATCAACTATTTTAATAGTCCAAGTTCATGCCAAATAATATAACTGCTTGAAATTGATAAATAATCAAAGTTTAAAAATCTGATTACTTAGTTTTTCCTTAAACTTTCTTGACTTACTTTTATTTAAGCCATATTTGACCATTAAATAATGTAAGATCTTTGAATTTCTAATCCTTTAAATAAGTAGAAAAGTTAAAAAGTAATATTATTTCATACATCTTTTATTTAACAAAAAAAACTTCAGTCTTTATAACCTTTACTGATTCATTTTGATATTATTAGAATAATTAAGATATGTTAGTATTTTCTATCTTAGATTATTTGCTAAATTACTATTCTTGAAACAAAGCTTGCTTATATCAATTATATCATTTTTCTCTTATAATCTATTGGTAATGAATGCATCTTTGATTTCTTATATGTGCTTTATTAAATTGATATCTTATCTTCTTCTTTATAAATAGTTACTTTTTATTTAAGATTGAGTCATCTTAACAAATAATTTCATAAAAGTTGATGAGCTTACATAGACATGATATAAGCTCAAAAAGTATAAATAAAAAAAAATAAATGATCTTACTTTTTCAAAAAATTTTGATGACTTTTCAATAATAAGCTTAAAAGTATCATTTGATTCCACTTTTTTGATATTTTTTCATCAGTTTATCACACTTAAATAAATATATTCTAAATTTCTTCTTTAATAATTATGTTTATTTTGATTACTTTAAGATCAAATTTATTAAATTTATTTTAAAATGACTTTACATCTTCCTATTGAGCTTTATTATTTAAATAAAAAAAATACTGAAATTACTAAAGAAAAAAAATATAGGAAGGAATTATTATAATAAAAATATTGAAAAAAGAATAAACAGATAGTGAATGAACATGTTACTCTTGATTTATTGCTTTTGGCTTTTCATAAATGAGTTGCTAAATACTTAGATAGTATTTTTAGAAGTTACATAACTTCTAATTCTTTAGATATAAATAAATTAAAATATTACTTTTAGATATATTTAAGATATAAAGAACTAACTTTTTTTTGTAGTTGCAATGAATGAAATGAATTTTGATATAAAAAATATGTAATAACTTGTTAAATATTAAGTCATTTTTTTTGACGTAATTTCAAAATAAAGACAAGATTAAAATTTTGGGTCTAAGAGTTTTGACTTTAAGATTAGATTATCATTATAATCAAAATGATTATCAATTATTATATAATTTTTTTAATTCTATCACATATTATATAATTCTCAACATAAGATTTTGCAAATTATATAAATTATATAAATAATTAATTTTTAGAATCTGAAAATAATAAGAGTCATAGAAGAAAATATGAAAAATTAAAAATCAAATAAGGTTAGTAAATATTACGTTGATAATCATATTATCTAATTCAATATAAACTAATCAAATTATAATTTTTTATTTTAATTAATTTAGTAATTTTAAAATAATATTGCATAATTTATTCTTTAGCAATTCTATCAGAAGGAAAATGTATTTTTATATTGATTACTTAAAATTTATTTAATAATAATTAAGCTCTTTAATAAAAGACTTATGCATTAAGTGAAAGAGAATCATTATTATATGAAAAATTCAAAATCGTAAAACGTTAAACTGAAGCGTGTAAAAAGAAAAGTTATTATTAATTTAGATAATTCAAATAAATCAAAATAATTCATGATTATTATTATTACCATAATTACTACTAATACTATTAGTAATATAAAACTTTTATTCAAAATTTTTAGAAAAAAATTCAAATTTTTATACTTTGTTTTTCTAATAAATCAAAATGAATTATCTAAAAATAAGTTATTATTTTGGCAAGACCTCCATTATTTTATTATATAGCATTTATTAAAGATTTTAGAATTAATAATATAAGTCACTTAATTATAAGATTTTTAAACTTCATCATTCTATAATCTAAAAATCTTTAAAATAAATCAACAAATTATAATAATAATATAGAAGATATTTAAAATATTAATGAGTTAAACCTTTATATATAAATATACTATTTATCAACTATTCTAAAAAGAAGAGATCTTTTTAAATTAAAGTATTATTTAAATATTTATTCTGAATTTTTTTATAATCTATCTCAAATTTATTAGATAACTTTCTAAATAGATTAGAATAATTAATTTCTGTTTAAAAATATTTAAAGTATTTAGAATTAAAATGTTATTTGATAGAAAATAAGTTTACTGTTTACAAAATTTTCTAATATATTAACTAAATTATGTATTATTAGAGGTTAATATTATATATAATAGTTACTAAACTTAAAACTTTTAAATTTATAAGAACTTTCATTATCATTAATTAATGAAATAAATGGTTTAAAAAATTTTAATAAACTTTAATATGATGTCTCTTTAGAATTGCAAATTTTAATATTTGGATATAATTGTTTAGATAATAAATACTTAATTAGATTCTTAAATAATTATAAAAAGAATTTAAAGATATTTAGTCTTTACAAAAATTTTGATTGTTCATCAAATTTAGAATTATGAAAGTTATATCCTAATCTGAGGTTATTATACACTATATTTCATAGAGACATATTATTACTGAAAGGAATTTTTAATAGTTATTAATAATTAGAAAGTTTAGAGATTTTATGTTGCAAGTTCGTTTTATGACGAGCGAGAATTTTCACCTAAAATGTTTTTGAGTTATCAATTAATTTTGGTATTTATATATATTTAAAAATAATGATTAAGGTCTATTTTTGAATACTAAGTAAATTATATACCATGTATTCCTCTTTCTTTGAATATTACTTAAAATTTAGGATTGAATATAAAACTGTCAAAAATTAATATCAAAATAATTAAAAAATTTAAAAAAATTAGATGTTATTAAGAATAATATTAGTCATTGAATTACTAAATAAAAATATATACTTCATATGACAATGTATTTTAAAATTAATAAATTTTATAATGATTATTTATTTATTTTATATTAAAGTTTTAATTATTTTAAATTATTTTTTAATAAGAATGAAATAATCTGATCTAATTAAGTTTTTTGGAACAGATTCTAATATAATAAGGATGCATAAATTTTACATTACATATACCTAATATTTGTAAATATTCTGTGTATTTTAAAATTCCAAATGGATAAAGTGCTTTAAATTAAAAAATCTAATTTAAATTTAGATTTTAAGAGTGATTTAATTTAATTTTATGTATTTTTATTATTGACTTTGAGTATCTGTTAATATAAACTGATTGATTATATGAGTTTGTATTTTTAAATCTCTTCTCTTTATAACTATTATTGCAAATAATTAAAAGTACTTTCTTTATAGTGATACATTACAAATATAAATAATATCCAATATTTATGATATTCAAATTAAATAATTTTTAAATTTTTAATATCCTTACAGGTTTAATATAAAACTTGACCAACAAAGCATTTATAAATAGGTTTTAGACAATAATTATAAGTTATTATGCTTTGCAACTATTAATATTATATTTATTGAAATATTAAATAGGAATAAATGAGCTGAATGAATCATTAAACAAAAATTTTCTAATTATTATAAGTGCAAATGGAAATAATGTTAGTGATCGAAATAACACTTTATTTTTTATTATTTTATTATTTAAATTAATATTATTTTAATTATTTTTAGATTATATATTATTAAATTATATATTGATAATAATATTACTTATATAATTGCTATTAAAGTTTTAGTATATTTTATTAATTAAAATAATTACTTATTATTTTAATAGAAATTTATAAACTTATTTTAAAATTATTTAGATTAAACAAATATACATGTAGTTTATAAAATAATACAACTTTATCACAAATTAAAAGCGTTATTTGAAATAGTTAATGAAAAAATTAAAATTCCTTAAAAAACAATATATAAAATACTATTTTGATAACTTCTCTTTTTTAATGTTTTTGAAATTATTTAAAAAACTTAAAAAAAAAAATTAATATAAAAATACTAGTTATGCATTAATACTTTCAGAAAAAATTAATTGATGATCATGACGTTATCATTTAAAAAAGCTTAACAAATAAGACACGACATGACGCGTAAAATTAGTTCTCACTATGACGTAATTCTTCGTGATTATATAAATTTCACAATTTTCACTACACTTCATGATGCAAAATATTTTTAAAAATATAAAGTGAAAGGTTCTGAGAGCTGTTTTTAATTCTATTATTTATTTTTCAAGTCAAGCTTTTTTTAATCTTATATACTTTGAACTTTACTTTATTTTATTTTTCGATGACTTACTCTATCTAATATCAGGTAATACTGAGTAGATTGTGACTATTTTGTCTACTGTTTCTGTATGAGGATCGGTTATGTTCATTCTTAGCAGTTGAAGTAAAAATTAGTTTTATGCTTAACGTTTTACATTCATGATAATAGTAGAAGAATATCCATTACGCCATATATGTCATTAACTAAAAGTTGGTGATAGAAAGGCTGAATAGTCAATATATTAGATGATTTCTAATAGCAAGGACGATAATACTCTGTTCTCTATTATTGAGTGTTTAATGGCCTTATACGGAGTTTGCACATAACTATGATTTTGTTTCTGTTACTCACAATTGTTTAATTATTTATCCTTTTTATTAAAGCTAATGATGGAAAGACCAAAACATGAGGAACAAGAATACTACCCTAGGATCATCGTGAGATTTTGTTTAGATCAAAGAATTTAAAGATCCAGTTTATAGGTTCCTTTGTTTGAAATCATTTTATTCAACCAGAAAGTAAGTTTATTAACTAACCCAAGAAAATATTTTATTAAAGTTTCATTATCTTTTAAAAGATCTTAATAATTTTAATACAAATAAATTTATTAGGATTATTCCTTCAAAAGCAAATTCCTTCAAAATGGTAAGACGTTAAATGAAAATCATTTTTTTAATTTCGGTGTTATAATGCTTGCTTGTAATAATTATTATTATTAAATAAAAGCTGATAACGCTGGAGCTACTCAGTTTCATGTAATCATCGACGGTCATTCACATCCCTCATACTCTCTATTTACAATGAAATGAAGGTCTGGCAGGGTCTTGCAATCTTAATATTTTATAATCAAATTTGAGGAACCTGATTTTGAATCGCTCATGCAGTTACGCATTAATGGAAAATAAGACGATTGGGAAGTATGGATTAGGTTTCAATACGTGTTTTTATTTACGATGTTCTGAGTTTCATTAGCAGAGATTATATTGCGTTTTTGGATCCTTAAGAGAAATTCTTGAGACAACGTGGAATAATAGACCATTTCCCAATAAATGGCATTGAGAGGCTTTCTGAAAAGGACCAGTTTAGTCCCTTTTGAAGGTATCGAAAGCATCAATTTTCATTCGAATTTTAAAGGAACTCACTTTCGAATCCCATTTCAAAGGGAAGCAAGTAAAATATCTGACAGAACTTTCTCAATAGCTGAGATTCTTGAATTGTTTTTCAATCTTAAATCAATTATCCTCTCCCAATTATTGTATTTTAAGTTGTTTAATTTCTCATAATCAATTAGTTTAGTTTTATCTGAAAAACAGGAAATTCGCCATTGATAACATGTTCACATCTTTTTTTATTTCTTACGGTTTCATCCAATTCCTCTATCATCATTTTACATAAAGGTTTTATTTGAAGAGGTACTGTAGTTTCAGATATGTGAGAAATTTCAATTGTTTCGATATTCGAAGAAACAAAAATTAGATTTTCACTATTTGTGTGCAACAAAATCCTAAAGATTTTCAATTACAACAATACGCATGACGATTTTGATTACGCGTATTAGATGGCATTGCAAGACCACTTGAAAATTCGAAGGCAAGATGTACTCTTTATTTTATTATCTGATACCTTCACCAATTTGCCAGTTTATCTTAATGGATCTTGGGCCTAAGACTTAGATCGTGCAATGCTACTGATTGAAAACAAATAAAATTCTGGATTTAGATTAACTGAAACTCAGTTTGAACAGGCATATTTTGTGTCAAAATTTCATCGCAAACTTTTAAAAAAAGCCATCAGTTTAAACATTATGGATTCTGTCTCAAAGTTCTAGTTTTTCCATCTAAAAGCATCAAAAGTACACAATTGAATACGGTTTCAAGTACTGAAATATATGTTACAAACCGAAACTATTATTTAATGATAGCTCAGAAGAAGACGTAAATGACCATATGAATAATTTCTTCGAGTGTTTGTTAAAACAACATATTTATAAGCTACGCAGCTTACTAATTGATTATTGGTAAATGGTAAATACCTCTTCATTTAATATCATTATTAAAATCAATGTTTTAAGAACTTATTCTTTTCTAATTTGTATATAGTGAAAATCGGATGATGAGCTAGAATCATTAGTTCGCTTATTTCCTATTTGTCTAATATTCGAATTCAAATTTGGAGATGCTTTTAAAACAGCTTCGTTTGGATATTTATTGCCAACTTCCATTTGCTGGTATCAAACAAGAATTTCAACAATTTATTTTTGTGATTATCGTCAATTTCTTATTAAACTTAATGTCCCATTGAGAAACATCTATTCTTTTGTCTTTCAGGATGTTGAATTTCTTAGAAAATCCAATAACTCTTACGTTCGCTTCCTAAATAGCGTACTTAATTATTATGATGTCATTCAAGGGTTAAAGGATAAATGCTGTTTTTCCAATTCAAATACAAGGATTTTAAAGAAGATTACAGATTTATTTGACCCTAATAATCTAGTTTTGTTAGGTGGAAATAGAAACACGGACGTCTTCCTTAATTCCAGTATATTAGAACATGCCGAGAGTTTATCAAGTATTGTAATAAAGTCAATGAAATATCATTTAATAAGTGTGCTGATATGATGATTGAGGAATTACAAAATGAGCCAGAACCTCCATCTGACATACGCTATCGAGGCTACATTGGTTTAAAATTTTAACTTGAAAAACATCAGAAGAGTACTAATCTTTTCAATTGCTAAAGTTTGGGCGAATCTTACGACAAACACTATTATCACACTCACAACACTCAAGAGTTTTTGGTTGTTTGAATGAGGTAATCCTTTCCAAGTATAGAGATGTCGCGTGGAGTAAAATGTACTTGATTGCAGAAGATATTATACTGCCTTCACAAATACTCCAAAAACTTTTATCATTTGAAAAACCAAATGTTTCCAACATAGTCAAAAATCTCCGTTTCTTGTATAATGACCTCCATAATGATGATGAATTGAGGAATAGTTGGGCCGATAGATTCAAGCATGACATTTTTGAGATTTATAAATGGCTTGATGATGAAACCTCACATGAGGATATTGACTTGTCCAAGTACATTCATTTAAATGATTCTTTATTCTTTAACTTTACCATAGATCAAATCCGTTTAATCGCGATAATTGGATTACTGCTAAATATTTAATTTTAAACCGTGAGCCAGGTGAAGACCAATATGTGAATCCAATGCTTGCTAGGTATTCTAATATGCTTAAAGGTGCTGATGTCAGAGAAATAAAACCGCTAATTATAAAATACGGGTTAAGCAACATGATTAATCAAGTATTAACAGAAAAAGAGCATTTGAATTTCTATTAGATCAAAGATCTCCTTTACTTTTATTGTGTATGGTGAGAAAATAAAAGCAAATCGATTTATACTTACTTCAAGCTCGAGAACCCTTCAGAGAACTCACAGCAAATCTGAATAATCCTATCTTTATTCGAAACATTCAAAATATTCAACCTAACTCTATGCGTATCTTGTTACGTTATCTGTATAGTCAGGATATTGATGACGCAATTCAAAAATGAGATTCAATTAATATTTGGAATCATAGAACTGGGTATGAGACTTGTAATATTTCAAATGTGTCACTTTATAAAGATCTGCTCTCAAATGTCTAATGTAAAGGATATGAAAACTTTTGCAGAAACTTTTAATGCAGAACAGCACAAGCAATTTTTCCATCATTTTATTCATAATAATTCTCCATTTAAAAATATTCAGAGTTTCAAATTTTTAGTAGTTAGTTGTATTCAAATCTCAAATATCAATGTAATAATGTAATAACAATGCAAATAAATATTGTCTTCGTAAGCCTTTAAATTTAAAGACCAACTAGAGTTTGCAGTTTGCAGGAGACTTCGTTCTCGTTTAGCATTAAGTGATTGATTGATTACATAATCAGTTCAATTAAACTTTAAAATGTCATTTATGATAAACACAAATTACATTAAGACAATATTTAATTTAAAATTTCTGAATAATATCAAAGTTATGAGCTGATTTTTTTAATTTGGGACATTACTTATAGAATTATTTGAGTAATAAAATTTACTTTTTAGTAAGAGAGTGTAACGTGACAGACGTTAAAGGCTATAATTTGAAATTTGAAAGCTTTATGGAATATTTGAGCACATTGCCACAATTACGTAAATGTAAAGTAGGAATTTAATAATTATAGGTAAATTTGTAAAGGATGATGATTTATAGAAGTCTCAATGTTTTAGCCCATTAATGCTAACAAATTAATTCTTATTGCTGCGTCACGTTTCTTTGACAAAATGCAAACTTTATGATAATTGAACTTTACGCAAATAATGTGAAATATGTAAATTATTAAATCATACCATTGGAAAGCTAAACAGTCTTCATTAATAAATAATTTATTGTTTTTATTTCAAAATCTTTACATATATTTTTATTATGATATTTGGAATTAAAATTTAATATATAATTTCATCTAATATACAAAAATTGAAAAATACAAAAAATCTAATAAATATAAAATATTTCATTATTTAACAATT